ACAAATTATTTTAATTTCAATTTAAATCTTGAAAGTTCCTCGAAACCTAAAGTTGTCGTACATATCCATATTGCTTATGCGGATTCGGTCTAGGTCGAAATTGGTAATGGTGGTGGGAAACAAACTTTAGAGAGATATGTAACTTTAACTATAAAAATACTGCAAAAGCAAATATAGTTCAACGATAATTGATATATATCTCCTACCAATAGGTTGTGACTTCAATCCCTATCACCACATTTTGTACTAAAAATAGAAAAAAAAAACTATGAAAATACTCTAATCCTTTCAAGTTTAACAGATTGATGTTAATTTTACCACATACAAACTTTATTTAATAAAAGTTAATGATTTAAGAGAGAATATTATAAAACCCATTTAATTAAAATAATATTGTTTAAAATTGTGACACCAACATGTCAGTCATATTTTGGTTACTCAACCAATAGTAAAGTTGCAAATCATCCAACTATTACCTTAAAAATCAATTTTAAGTGATTTCAAGCTTTCCTAAATCAATTGTCTAACTTGTCCGACATCATTAATAGAAAGAAAAGTCATTTTGATAATAACAAAAGTGATTTTGGTCCTTCCAAACACAAACTTAAGGTCATTAAAATTAATTCTTAAATACTAATAACTGAAGTGTCACTTCAAAAGGCTAGTGATTAAAAGTATAATTTTTTCAAAAAACATATCCGACTTTACCATTTTATTAATGTTTAAATTTTTATTGTTTCATAATATTGTTTTCGATTCGTCCAGAATATGATGTATGTAGTTGGAGTGAATGAAATTTCTGAACGGTTATGAGTATTTTTGTGGGTCAAAAGTTATGTAAGTCAATACTCGTGGTGTGACCATGGCCGTGGTACGAATGTGAATTTGATTCTGTTGAATTTCAATCTTCGTACAAATTGAACGAGGATATTGATTCTGTCGAATTTCAAGGCCACGACCATGCCGTGGTACGACCATGAATTTGGACAGAACGTAAAGTACATCTAATTCACGGCCGTGGTCTTAACTTTCAAGGTCATGGTAAAGCAAACAATTTAACCACTGTCAAACCTTGTCCATTAATTGTCTTTCATGAATACCACGGTCGTGGTGTTATTTTCATGGTCATGATCAAACTAACAATATTTCATGAATACCACAGTTGTGGTGTTATTTTCATGGCCATGGTCAAACTAACAATGAGTTAGGTTATTTTCATGGCCATGGTCAAGCTAATAATGAACTAGGTTTTCATAGCTATGGTCAAGCTAACAATGGACTAGGTTTTCATGGCCACAATTAGTGTTAGCTTCTCATTTCTTGATTTAGTTTCTATAATTCTTCCGAAGTGTTTTTAAACTATCTTTATCCAATTTCTCCCCAGAAAAAAAAAAGTCTTTGCCCACCTCGCTTTCATTTTTACTTAGTCTTAAAAATTTAATGAAGTTAACTAACACTGTTAGTCAAATAGGATACATAAATTTATCGCTCCTAAAAAAGTGTCATGTATTCTATATTGTAATGAGCTCTCCGAACCGTGCTGGATAGTCACCCATTGATGATTTGTGAAATTTGAGTAGATCATGAAGATAAATTTCAAACTAAGTCTAAATTATGGGAAAATATTGTAAATTTTAAATTCTCATGAAACTATTTTTATATCATGAGAACTAAATTTATAATTTTACCAAACAGATATATTAATTAACAGTGAATTAATTACCATGCCAAAAGATATTTGTTTGTTACCCATTATTCGTATTTTTAAGTTTAGAAAAAAAGGTTCGAAATTTAAGAAAAGTTATTATTTTTAAAAATTACTGACTTTTCAATTCACTAAATATATGCTAACTTGAGCCCAGTTTAATTTAAGACACTTCGATTGTGAGTTCGAATCTCAATCTCATATGTTGTATTAAAAAAAATTATTTACTAAAGGTATAATTTAGTATTTTTTCAATTTCATCATTAACTTTTAAAAATTGTAATTTCATCTCTTATTTATTTATGGATAATCAATGATTTTTCATTATCGTGTCGCAAGTTGACATTAAAGTGAGATAAAATCCAGATGCGAAGGGAGTTGCGAAACTCTTCATGAAAATTTTTTATGATAAAGTCAGTCAAATTTATGACCGAACCATTTGCTTGACCAGTAGAAAATTAGAAATTAAACTTCAAAGATATATTAATATAATAATTGAAGATATATTAATTAATATAAAAATTGAAGATATATTAATATAATAATGATATATAATATAAGTAAATAGTCATAATCACATATAGTAATGTAAACAATTGTGTTTGTACTAAAAAAAATGCAAACAATTGTGTTTTTGTGAATGCATGCTTGACTCATATTTATATATAAAAAAGTATATCCAACACATTCAGATAAAAGTGATAGTCTTACACGTTAATAAAAAATAATTTGTGAAAGATTAAAGGTCCTACGGTTTTGCACTTCAAACAAATTGAATGAAGTCTTTTGTTTTGTATCTACTTTTAAAATCATTTTAGAAATCCTAGCCAAAGTTTGAAAACTAAAATATGTATATATATAGCTTCCAAAAAAAAACAGTGTTTATGCAAGGAATTGCACAACGCGGATTTTACGAACTTAGCACAAACCCGGTCCCCGACTCGACCTGAACCCAAGAGTGAACCTGCACAAGAGGGCAAACTCTCCGACGCTCAAGTCAGTGTAGGTCGGACTCAATATTAAGTTCGAGATGAGATTCGATACCTGAGCATGAAATGAGACCCTCTATTTATAGGTGATGGGTCCGACAGTGCTTACGACCGGAGGTTACCTTTGTCTTTTTTATGTCGAACCTGTCGAGTATGAGCATATCGAACCCATCCAGGTCGAACTGGGGATTTTACACTTAGCCTTGTTTATGGGCGGACCCAGTCTTCTCGGCAAGTTCGAGGTGGACTTGGGATGTTTCCCTTAATCCCTGAACACCAATGAGCATTTTCCACGTGTCCAGTGTTTTTTATCCCAAAACAAACAGTTTCTTATTTTTGAAGTTTGGCTAAGAGTCCAACAATTTATTTATAGAAAAGATAAAAACATACTAAAGATATTGGAAGCAAAGTAGCATATTAAGGTCTTATTGGACACACTTTTCAAAGTTCGAGGTTCTATGGATACAAACCTAGAAATTCAAGAATTAAACGTGTAAGTTTAACATTTTTAAAGGCAAAATACAGTAATTTGAACGTCTGCAAATCGAGTTAAGTGTCTAACTCAAAAGTGATACTTGTAGTACATGAAGCTTGATAAATAATGGTTCTAACTCATCCCTCAATTTATTTCACCTTTACTTGACCAAAGGAAATGTGATATGACAATTAGTTGTTAAATAAATTTATTCACTTGCCAAAGCGAGTATAGTTCAGCAGTAATTGGAAATACTTTCAACCATGAGGTTGTGAGTTCGAATCCGAATCTCCTCCCCAACATGTTGTACTAAAAAAAATAATAAATTTATTCACTTGGACAATTTATACTAGTTTTATATTAGTTTCCACTGATTGGACCATGATAGGGTGGCTATCTTCCTTCCTCTTGAGATATTGACTTATTGGACCTCAAAAAGTTTAGGTTGCATTGGGTAGCTACTCAATCCATTTTTTGTCTTTTAAAAAACAAGGGATATGATAAATGGTAAGAATTTAGGTTTGGTGGACCAAAACTTGAAAATTGAAATCCATTTAGCCCAAAATCTCAAGACAACTTTTAGTTGTTTTGTCTTTTCAGATTCGGAATCTTAAAATTAGAAAACACGGGATCTCATTTTAAACACCGTGCTTCCATCAAAAAGTTTGGACATATCCATTGTTATTTCCCTTCTTCCTTCTTCTCAATTATCTCAATTGTTTTTTTTTAATATTTTATGGGTTGGAATAGATAGAGAACAAGAAGCAGCATCGAGAAGAAAAAACAGAGAAAACAGAGAAATCTTTTTTTTTTTCCTTCCGAGGGGCAGAGCATATTGTTTTATGAAAATTGGGGACGAACTGAGATTTGGAAAAGGTTTTTTTTTATTTAAAAAAATAATTTCATTGATAATATGAAATTACCAAATGAGAACAAGAAGAAAAAAAAAGTGAAATTACAAATGAGTATGTTACCCAACATATAGTTTCAAACAAATTCTAAAATTCCAAATTCAAATTTTGAATATGCTACCAAACACATACTCGAAAATAAGGAATACATAAAATACAATTCTTATTTTCATTAAATCCCTTGTTTTCATATTTATATTTCCAAATCACCAACAAAACACACCCTCATATTTTACTCAAATAACTCGTACCATCAAAATTGTTTTTTTTTTCTAACTCAAAACAATATTTTTTTACACGTCAGTTAAAAGTAAATGTACCAAACTACCTCTGATTTTAAATTCACTTTTAGTTTTCTATTTTTAAAAAATAAACTTATAAACAACTTTCATTCATGTATTTATTTATTTGTTTTGTATCTACCTTTTAAGATCATTGTAGAAATCTTAGCCAAATTTTGAATTTTTTTTTTTAGAAAAGTGAAAACAAATGTGAGTAAAGTAGAATAATTTTTAAAAAACAAAAAACTAAAAATGAAATGATTACTAAACACGGCTAAGAATTTTTTAGACACTTTTAAAAGTTCGAGCTCTATTGGATACAAACTTCGAAGTTCAAGAACTAAACTTCTCAGTTCTTCTTAATGGAGTGCCTCGACCTCAGTTCAAGCCTAGATGCGGCCTCCGACAAGGAGGTCCTTTATCGCCTTATTTGTTCCTAATTTGTGCAGAAGGCTTTTCAGCTATGCTTAACAGGGAAGAACAGCTTCATAATTTTTCTGGTTTACGTATTAATAGACAATGCCCATCCATAACACATCTTTTTTCGCAGATGATAGCTTGCTCTTCTTTAAAGCATCGACTAGAGATTGTCAAACAATTAAAAGAGTTCTTTCGACTTATGAGAGAGCTTCCAGACAGATGGTTAATTATGAGAAGTCCATGTTTATGGTTAGCAGGAATACAAGTCGTTGTGTAGCTGCCAACATAGAGAGTGAACTTCATGTGACCCGAACTAACTGCATGGGTCAATATCTAGGACTGCCATCACAAACATCTCGCAATAAATGCCAAGTTTTTAATAATATTTTGAATCGTGTTTGGCAGTTTCTTCAGGGCTGGAAGGAAAAGCTATTCTCCTCTGGAGGGAAGGAGGTGCTAATCAAAGCGGTAGCTCAAGCTATCCCGAACTATTCGATGAGTTGCTTCCGGTTTCCTATGAATCTTTGCAAAGAAATCAACTCCCTATATGCAAGGTTTTGGTGGGGCTCAAATGATAGAGAGAAGAAAATCCATTGGCCAAGTTGGAAGAGGTTGTGTGTAAGTAAAGAGCAAGGTGGTTTGGGTTTCAAAGATCTTTGCATTTTCAACCAAGCTATGCTTGCAAAACAAAGTTGGCAGATTATTAAGAATCCTAACAGCCTTTTGGTAAGGGTCTTGAGAGGAAAGTACTTTAAGCATGGGAATTTTATGACGGCTGAGCTAGGCTCTAATCCCTCATTTGTTTGGCGAAGCATCTTGTGGGGGAAGGAGCTTTTTGTCAAAGGCATCAGATGGAGAATTGGGAATGGATTCAGTGTTATAATTGGAAGTGATCCATGGATTCTGCGGGAAGGGAGCAGTCTCCCATTTTAGTTAACGACCCTGTCAAATTTCGCAATGTCGCATATTTATTGAATGGCCCAGGCGTTTGGAATGAGGAGCGTGTCAGGAGCAACTTTTGCGAAGAGGATGCAGAAACGATTCTCAACATCCCTATACCTAGCCAAAGTAAAGATGACGAAATTATCTGGAACCATAGAAAAATGGTATTTTCAGCATTCGAAGTGCTTATCATCTAGGCGTGAAGTTGGACAATGCTCACCTAGCATCGTCTTCATGCTCTAACAATCAACGGGCGAGATGGAAGAAGTTTTGGAAGTCTAAAGCTCTCCCTAAATCGAAAATTTGCTGCTGGAAAATATATAATGATATTATCCCAAATAAAACTAATCTGTTCAGGAAAGGAATTCAAACTGATATCTTGTGTGTTTTTTGTAGGTCTGTAGCAGAAACCTCAACGCATTTGTTGTGGGATTGTGAGGTATGTGCACCTATTTGGTACAATTTCCTTTCCCCTGATACTCTCTTTTATGATCATGATAGGAGTGGCTTGAATTTAAAAGACCATTGGGACTGGATATTTGATAGAGCCGAGGACGAGGAGACAAGGAAAATTATGATAATTGCGTGGCAGATTTGGGAGCATAGGAATCGGATAATTTTCAAAGGTGTTGAACCAGAAGCAGTTCAAATCCAGGCAGCAATCAACAAACATCTAGATTTAATTAATAATCACGGGGCTACTAGTTCAGTCACACAAAAGAGCAAGAAGAAAGGCAAGAAGCATTACCTGACAACTGATATGCAAAGTAACTCAAATCAGAAGTGGAATCCCCCTCCTATTAACTGCTGGAAACTATACTGTGACGCATCTTGGAGTGAAGATCAAAGACGCGGTGGTATTGGATGGATAGTTCGTGATTGGCGTGGTGAGGCAATGTTGGCAGGAAGTCGTCCGATTGTTCTGCAACAAGAGATTAAAATCCTTGAAGCTATGGCTATTTGCGAAGGATTAAGAGTGATAACAATGGAAGGAGAAGGAAATTTATCGATTTATGTGGAATCAGATTGCCTTCAAGTCATAAATCTTTTGAATGGTAAAGAATCTGACCTTACAGAGATAAAATGGGTCATTGAAGATGGCGTTCAGTTGGCATCGACTGCAAATGTTGTGTTGATCCAACATGCATCGAGAGATTTGAATCTGGTCGCCCATGAGATTGCAAAGAGAGCCAGAGATGGAGAAGATTTTGCCCTTTGGAAGCGTGGGGAGGAGGAAAATATGCCTTCGTGGTTGTTCAACCTTCTTCTTTTGGAACTCCCGAATGTTTAATTTGTGTTTCGTTTCTCTGTTTTCTTTTATAAAAAAAATAAAAATAAAAACATTTTAAAGGCAAAATACAATATTTTTAATCTCTACGAATAGTTAAGCATCTATCTGATTCATGAAGTTAAAAAAAGGATAGTTTTAGTCCATGAAATTTGATAAATAATGGTTCCAACGGGTGCCTAAATTTATTTCACCATTACTTAGACCAAAAGAAAGATGAGGCCAGGATTACTTTGTGGGATAAATTTACTCACTTGGCCGATTATATACTAGTTTTTCATTAGTTTTTGGTTCTTTTTCTCTTATCTTGAATTTTTCTTTATATAATATATACAACTACAAATAGTCAGATCACAGAAAGACATCTTCTCTTTCATTTTTGTCTTTTTTGTGAAAGAATGTCTAGCAATACAAACAGTTCATGCGAGCATAAATTTAGATATAAAGAGATAATTAAATATATATGTTAAGGTAATGTAGTTAGCGAAGCAAAATGGGTATAGGATGGGTGGGTCCCTACTTACCACTCTGATCTCTTTAAATATTATGACTGTCACTCAGAATCTGCGCTTGGATCTCCTTCGTGAGTGTAGGAAAATGGGTGAAGATTTCCCTCCCCCTCCAATGGAAAATATTTCTTTGGATGTGGAGCAGTGTGGGACAGATTTCCAGCAGCTTGATGAGTTTATGCAGCGTTCTCCTTCACCGATTTCGGCGGAATTCTTCAACTGCCGCACTCCTAATTCTCCCACGGCGTTGCAGTTGAAGTTTCAGAAGATACTCTCCGACTTCGAGGCCGCCGCCGCCATCGTGGATTCGACAGTAACAAAGCTCCCATGGTGTCCTAATTCTCCGATGACAGCGTTGCAGGATCTATTATTCTCCGACTTTGAGGCCGCCGCCGCCATGGTGGATTCGACAGTAACAAGGCTCCCATGGTGTCCTAATTCTCTGACGACGGCGTTGCAGGATCTATTATTCTCCGACTTCGAGGCCAATACAGAGACGGAGCCAACAATAACAAACTCTCTTTCCGTCGCCGTGAGTTCTGACAGCTCCGTCACAAATTTAACGGAGAGAAACTACGGCCGACGACCCCAATTACGTATTGGGCATTGGACCGAGCAGGAACAAAAGTATGCTCTGATCCTATGCTATGAATCAACCAACAATTACTCAACTCTAAAGTTTAGGCGGAAAAGTTTAAATTATATATGTTTCGAATTTCCCAATTCTGATCCTTTAAAGATTTTCCTCTCTCGTTTGGTTTTGATTATTGCAGGTCATTTTCTATGGGACTGAAGATTTATGGACCAGGGAACTGGAAACAGATTGCCGGATTGGTGGGCACAAGAACACACATCCAGGTGGGCAGCCATGCCCAAAAGTACTTCAAGCACCACGAAAACCGGAGAAATCGGAAGACTCCCACTGTTCGACCACCGCCGTCGCCGCCGCCGCAACAATTTACAATTACCAATTACTATCCTCCGCCACCTGATCACCAACGAAACTAGGTTTATCAATTACCATTACCACTACCAACTCTCTCCCTTTCATTATTCAACTTTTCCTAACATATTTCTTTTACGGATCTTTAACATTTTTCAAGGTTGATCAGTATTGAAATTGACTAAATGATCAATTTATTTGTCATACGATTCTTAACAAGTTTAGGGGATTTATCAAGCTATTTAAGAGGGGTCATAAAGTTTCTAATTTCTCTTCCAAATTTCTCACTGTTCGGTAGAAATTTCAACCTTTTCCTCTCTTACATAGTTTAATTTCTCCTCTAAATGGCAGCTCATGCATTGATGAAATATTGCTTGACAATTCAATAAAATTTTCATTATAATTATTTGAGGGGCTTCATCAGAATGTAGATATTTATTTATAGTAAGAGGGCATCATTTTACTGTTACATTTCTTAAAATCCTCGTTCCCCAAGAATGTTGTACGTAGTTGTACAACCTGGTATGGATATGTTTTCTTGTGGTGGCTATTCGGTTTCATCCCCTAAATCAATATTTAGGCATATTTATCTTTTGGGCAAGCTACAACATGTCCAAGGTAAAACACTTGACATTTCTTGATTTGTTAGAAAATTTTATTGAATAAAATAGAGAAGAAAAATCAAATTTTACTTGAACTTAGCAAGAGAGATCAATTCTTAACCTTAATTAAACTCAAATTTCATCCAAATTGCACCTAAAACATAAAATAGGTGTTGTAACCTATATATTAAACTTTAAAAAGTGTTGCAATTGTTACCTTTTCAATATGTTTTCATTCTAAGGATCGTTAGAAAAGTATTGTCATGTCTTCGAGAATCAATAAAGGAGAAGGAGAAAAATGAGAGGGGAAAAAAATTGGAATACTTATTTGAGGGCCTAGGTAGCCCATTTGTTGAAATCAAAAGTTTAGGATGAGAATTGGTTTAAATGACCAAACTTAGGTAATATATATCTTTAAAACTAAACAAATAAAAAGTTATTAGCAAACAAAACATAAAAAACTCTTCAACAAAATGCTTAAAACAAAGTTTCAGAATTATCCAAATTCAACTATAATCAAACTTTGCAAGTAAATTGACACCAATACTCCAAACAGAATGTTCAAATTTCACTAAGAAGCATCGAACATGAGACAAAAAATAAAACATGAAAACTAATAGTATAAAAATATAACTATGAAATTGGTAGAAAATCTAGTAGCTAAATTCTGCATCACAAAATTATCCTTAAAGCAGACTTCAAACTTTCTCCCAACATATAATAACTATGCTAATATATCAAGATAACACCAACTTTGTAGTTTGAACCAGAGGTGAGCATAGAAAATTGAAAAATCGATCCAACCGATCAAAACCAATCGAACCGGGGGGCTCGGGTCGATAGTCGCCGTGGTAGTATACGAAAAACCGACAAATCGATCAGTTGGTTTGAAACTTTCAACTAATAAATGGACGGAGCACCATTACAATGGAACCTAAGCTCTAAAGAGGTCTGAGAGAGGAAGGGAGAAGAGAGAAGATGTTAAGAGTACGTTTAGAATATGCATTGTTATTGGGCCTTTACATTTGGGCTTCTACTTTAAGTTTGTCAAAGGCCTATAGTTTTAACTTTTTTTCGTGTTCTTTTTACGTTTACCTTTCGATCGACTCCTAGCTACTTTAATCTTTATTTCATTGATAAATTTTTTTGTTTAAAAAAAAGAAAACAGAGAAAAACTACATTTTTCTTTAACCTCCAACTTTTTAATAATCAACCCTTTCAAATCTAAAACAAAGAGTCTAACCAGATAAACAAAGCACTGGAAAAAAAAAAGGAAAAGAAAAGTCAAGAGAGCAATAAGAAGATCAGAACCACACAAAGAAAGAGAAAAAAAATGAAGTATACATATTGTTAACAAGTAGAGAGATGTGAAGCAAAAAAAAAAAAAAGGAAAAAGGAAAAGACGAGTTAAGAAGGTACCGGTGATGATGGGCGATTTGCTCCGGTGTAGCAAAATTAGAGAGAAAAGGGAATGTGGGAAAGGGGGAAGTCAACGTGGCGGAAATAGACTGAGAGAGGGAGAATATATGCACATAAATCCCAATCTCCTTCTTCCATGAACCAATATTATATTTTTTACACCTAATTTCACCCTTAAATATAATGATTGGTGTGTGGTTGTTGCAATGACGCCCTCCTAAAAAATTAAA